TTCGTAGATTTTCGTAGACTCAATTTTGAGATCTCGGGATTGACTGCACCGATTTCATTCGGACTGGTCTCAATCGAAAGCTCTTATCGACATTATATAGCGAAAGTGTCATTAGATTTTTCATTAGAACTTTCGTTTCCGAGATATTAAAAATCGGAAATCTGATGAGGCAAAACTTCGAGATAAAGCTAAGCGGTAGCACAGTGCCAGTGCCGTATACTCACAAGTCATCACCCGACTTTTATTTTATATATATTATTTTATATACATTTTATATATACTTGGCGTCGCGCCGCTACCGCAGCGCTTGATATGTGAAATTTTTTTCCCCGGATTTCCAATAAACGTTTGTTTACTATATATAACTATATATAATTATATGCAAAATATGTCCATATATGTTTCTTTCCTTTGTAAAATTATTCTTTAATACAAAATTGATAATAATAGGAAAGAAACATAAAAAATAATTAAAAGATTAATTTTTACTTTGTTTTTTTTTTACAAAAAATAAAGTTTGAAGAAATGAGAAAAATTGCTCGTATAAGTGATTAAAAATATACATATATAATTATATATGAACAATTTTTCTTATTTCATCAAACTTGATTTTTTGTAAAAAAAAACAATGTAACAATTATTCTTTTAATTATTATTTATGTTTCCTTATTATTATCAACTTTGTATTAAAGAATAATTTTACAAAGGAAAGAAACATATATAGACTTATTTTGTATATAATTATATATAATTATATATGGAACTTTTTTTCCCGGGAAGTGATTTGAATTTGAATTTTTCACATTTTTTCCGCGTGGATTATGTTTTAAATTTTAAATAAATATAAAGTATTAACGAGTACCTAGTTAATATTAATCTCAAGCGAGACGATTTAGGGTTTTGTCGATCATCAATATTCGTCGAAAGCACAGATGACCCGGGAACCCTCGTAGAGTGGATCTTTGGAGGTCTGGTCTACTAAAGTATAAATAAATAAATTGATCCACCATTTTAACGAGAGACCACGTTTCATCCCACATGTGAATTAACACGTATTCCATTTTAGGGCACGTTTGCGAATTAAACTCTCTTAAAAAAATCATCATTTCACACACGCGTTGTAGCTAATTGGAAAGTCCGTAGTGTGGAATTTCTCTAGATTCACACTCCTCCCCCCCCCCGTGAGGGTGCTTTTCCATCTTGCTGAGGTAATATAACGCGCACCGTTATCGCTGTCAGGGTGGCACGCTGCAACAGCTGGAGCGTCAGGGTTGGCTACAAATCTCGCGGGGCTCGAGTAATTTGTTAATGCGAGACCCTTTTGTACAACTATTAGATTAGCATTGTAATTATTTTATTCTAGTGTACAGACTTTACAAATTATAAATTACTATATATATATTATAATAGGGTTGCCACAGACCTGGAAAACCGGGAAAAGTCAGGGAAATTTAAATTAGTCAGGGAAAACCTGGAAAAGTCAGGGAAAGATATAAAAGAACCTGGAATTTTGAATTTTGCTTCTTAAAAGAGGATCCACTCCGATTCTGTAACACTTAACGGACAGTTCGGTATCGTTATATTTTTTTCAGGGTTTGGGAAGTAAGTCGTTACTTGTAACGAAGTTACAATTACAGTTACTTTTTTTTCAATAACTGTAACTTAACTTACATTACTTTCTTTATGTGTAACTGTAACTTAACTTATAGTTAGATTTTTAAAATAAATAGTAACTAATTTAATAGTTACCTTTACAGTTACTTTATATATGTCAAATTGTCTTTATATATATCAAATTTCATGGATCCAAATTATGCAACACTTTCGCTCAACCACCTAATTGTAATGTTGATAATTATACGAAATATTTAAATACTTATATTTAAATATACGCATTACTTTTCTATTTTAAATAAAATTATATATGTAAATGTAAATCTTTTTTTTATAATGCTAATGCTGTTCTATTAAAAATAACTAAAAAGTAATGATTTGTTACTTTTTGAGTAACTGTAACTGTAACATGTTGCTTTTCAGAGTCGGTGTAACTTGTAACGGTAACTAGTTACTTTTTGAGAGACAAAAACTGTAACTGTA